AAATAAAAAAATTCAAGGTAGCGAGTTACAAACTATTCATTCAAAAGTTCCTCCTGCCCCTGTGGAGTTGCATAAACAGCAGAATGGAAGAATATTCCACTCACAAACCAACCAATCAAAAAGAAAAATATGAAAGAAGAGAAGATGAAGAAATCCATTTGGTTGATGGTATGGTGGGCGCAGAAGCAATCAAGATGGAGTCTTGGTGAATAATGGATGATTGGGGAAGTTCAACAATTCTGGACAGAGGAGACATTGGGGAAGTAAAAGAGAAGATCTTCTCAATATCAAATTAGGTGGCCGACTTGTGTCGACCAGCGAGACCTTCTCTCCCTTTCACTGATGAAGGATATTCCTCACATTCCAACAACTTATCTTCATTATCAGGTAAGGTGTTTTTGGCTCACTAGAAATCCTCAATTAGATAAATTGAGTGTCGGCAAAGAAATATCCATGTATAGCTTAATCAATACTATGGTCCCATATTCTATAACAATGACAAAATTGAGCTAATGTGATAAATGCTTCCACACTATAATAAATGCATTATTAAATTGTGTCCAGACTACACATACGCACAAACAAAAATGGTTGAACAACATGACACATAGTGATACTATTATAACTCCATTTCTCATGTTCGTAAATATGAAAAGCAAACATGGTTAAAATTCATTATTTTTAATTTCATGCTAACAAGTTAAATAAGAGCTTTATTTTAAGATCAATATTGATATGGTTTATTAAATTATATTAATATATATTGTCATTATGAAATGCTTGAAATTTGTTATTGTGGAAATTATTTATATGATCATGTGCATATTTATGGATTGACCCATATGATATGAAAATAAATATGTGTGGCTACATAGACCGTCCAGTGCGGCTCTGCCGCCGGCAAGTGATATTTAGCCAACGGGTCAACTGTTGAAATATGAAAAATCATGTGAAATGGTCGAGCAGTGTATCCACTGAAATAGACAATACAAAAGAAGATTTGATCAACTAAGTGAACCGGTCAATGTATTGAATAATGATGACCGGTGATGGCCAGATGATAAGTGTATTGAATAATGATGACCGGTGATGGCCAGATGATAAGTGTATTGAATAATGATGACCGGTGATGGCCA